TCTTGTACAATTTTGGGATACATGTTTAGCAGTGCTCCTCTTTAAAACCCTTTCAAAGATTGTAATAATATGGGACATCATAACTCTTAATCTATAGCTATTTACAAGTGGTTTACTGCCACCTCTGTGGAATGCAGATGCATCAGTGGTTTTTTAACGGCTTTGGGACACCTTATGTGTCGATACTCCTCCATACAGTATGTTAGGTATTTGATAGCTATTTCGTGCAATTCTTGATGAATATGGAGTGCATGGGCATGCTATCAATGGCTTCTTTGAAGTCGAGGGGCAAGGGTTATGGCAGATATTATAGAGATGTCAACAGTAGTAGTGTTCCATGAAGGTAGTAGTGTTCCATGAAGGTATTATGAAGAGGATGGGTTATGTTTTGACTCTTCATCTCTCCATCTTGTGGAGAATATGACAGCTTCCTTCAGACGTACCACCGAGGAGTTGACTGTCTCTCCTCACTCTAGGAACTTGAGGATACAAAAGTGTAAACACTGTAGTAACAGAGGTCCCTTGTGTTGTCATGAAGAGTCTTCTTGTGTGTGTGTGTACTCACCGAATTGTGGTTGCAAGGGTGAAGTCATAGCTCCTGGCCCCTCTTCTTCACTGGTCGCTCCTAGATCTACTCTCTCTCTGCTCCATGAGCTTTGTCATACCTCTTCTTAAAGCTATGCATGGATCCTGCCTCCACTACCTCACTCTCCAAATTGTTCCACTTCCAGACAACTCTATGGCTGAAGAAATACTTCTTAAGATCCCTGTGACTCAATCTGAGTTTTCAACTTTCAGTTGTGACCCCTTGTTGCTGTGTCATATCTGAAATATTCCATCCCTATCCACCTTGTCATTCCTCTAGTATTTTATATGTTATGTTTCCCCCAATCCCTCTTGTCTTCCAGTGTTGTCAGGTTGAGTTTCCTTAACCTCTCCTCGTAGGACAAACTCCTCAGTTCCGGAACTACTCTTGTTGCAAACCTTTGCACTTTCTCTAATTTCTTGACTTGTTTAACCAAGTGTGGGTTTCATACTGTTGCTGCATACTCCAATATGGGCTTGACGTACACGGTGTATAGTGTCGTGAATGACTCCTTACGTAGATGTCGAAATGTTATTCTCAGGTTTGCCAGGCGCCCATGTGCTGCAGCAGTTGTTTGGTTGGTGTGCGCCTCAGGAGATGCGCTCGGTATGATGCTTACCCCAAGATCCCTTTTCTTGGGTGAGTTTTGCAGCCTTTGACCTCTTAGGCTGTACTCCATCTGCGGTCTCCTTTGTCCTTCCCCAGTCTTCATAACTTTGCACTTGCTGGGGTTAAACTCTAGGACCCATTTGTCAGACCAGGCTTGCAGCCTGTCCACATCCACTTGTAGGCTTACCTTATCCTCTTCTGTTTGTATTCTCCTCATTAGTTTCTCGTCTGCAAACAGAGACACCTCTGACTATCCCTTCCATCATATCATTCACTTATACCAGAAACAGCACCGGACCTTGTACTGACCCTTGTGGAACTTCACTCAACACATGCAACTCTAACACCTTTTATCAGACCAACACACGTTATTTCCTTCCTGTCAGGTATTCCCTGATCCATTGCAGTACTTTCCCTAGTATTCCTGCCTGCTCCTCTAGTTTTCAATCAGTCTCTTGTGTAGAACTGTGTCGAAAACCTTCTTACAGTCCAAGAAGATACAGTCTACCCATCCTTCTCTCTCTTTCCTATCTTCTGTTACCTTGTCATAGAACTCCAATAGGTTCTTGATGCAGGATTTCCCTTCCCTGAAGCCGTGCTGGTTGTCGTATATTAGTCCATTACGTTCTAAGTGCACCACCACTCTTTTCCTGTTTTCCTGGTAATCTTCTCCATAACCTTACATACATGTCAACGACACTGGTCTGTAGTTTAGTGCAGCCTGTCTTCTTTCTTAAAACTCGGGACTACATTTGCTGTGTGTGTGTGTGTGTGTGTGTGTGTGTGTGTGTGTGTGTGTGTGTGTGTGTGTGTGTGTGTGTGTGTGTGTGTGTGTGCGTGTGTGTGTGGTGTGTGTGTATTAGAGACAAGTAAGTGGTGAGAGACAAGTTTGAGGTGTGTGGGTATCTGTTTGTATGTGTTTGTGTATGTACTCACATATTTATTGTTGCAGGGGTCGAGTCACAGATCCTGGCCCCGCCTTTTCCCTGGTCGCTACTAGGTCCACTCTCTCCCTGCTCCATGAGCTTTATCGTCCTCTTCTTAAAGCTATGTATGGATCCTGCCTCCACTACATCACTCTCCAGATTATTCCACTTCCTGGCAACTCTATGACTGAAGAAATACTTCCTAACATCCCTGTGACTCATCCGAGTTTTCAACTTTCAGTTGTAACCCGTTATCGGTGTGTCCCATGTCTGCAGCATCCTGCCCCTATCCACCATGTAAATTTCTTTCAGTATTTTATATGTTGTGTGTGTGTGTGTGTGTGTGTGTCCTAGACAATCATTATTCTAATATACTAGTTAAATAGCCACGGTACAAGATGCTATCCTGCTCCAGCCCGCACTATATATTTCTATATCCATGGTAAGCGACCAACCCACGGTGCCTCCCTCCCCTCCAACACACATGCACATGCACACCACTCACGCAGGCACACGCTTGCACGCACACATCCTCCCAACCAACAATGGATCCTTCATACAAGTCTCCTGGCTCACAGTAACCTCTCTCCCTCCCTCCCTTCCTACCTCCCTTCCTTCCTCCCTTCTCTGAATCCATGTTGGTTTTCCACCATACACACCCGCCCACGGGTATGTAGGGTGATGGTTGTCCCCTGGGTTAGGGTGGGTAGGGTGATGGTTGTCCCCTGGGTGAGGGTGTGTAGGGTGGTGGTTGTCCCCTGGGTGAGGGTGTAGGGTGATGGTTGTCTCGTGGGTGAGGGTGTATGGTGATGGTTGTCCCCTGGGTGAGGGTGTGTAGGGTGGTGGTTGTCCCCTGGGTGAGAGTATGTAGGGTGATGGTTGTCCCCTGGGTGAGGGTGTGTAGGGTGGTGGTTGTCCCCTGGGTGAGGGTGTGTAGGGTGATGGTTGTCCCCGGGGTGAGGGTGGTAGGTGATGGTTGTCCCGTGGGTGAGGGTGTATGGTGATGGTTGTCCCCTGGGTGAGGGTGTGTAGGGTGGTGGTTGTCCCCTGGGTGAGAGTATGTAGGGTGATGGTTGTCCCCTGGGTGAGAGTGTGTAGGGTGATGGTTGTCCCCTGGGTGAGGGTGTGTAGGGTGATGGTTGTCCCCTGGGTGAGGGTGTGTAGGGTGGTGGTTGTCCCCTGGTGAGGGTGTGTAGGGTGATGGTTGTCCCCTGGGTGAGGGTGTGTAGGGTGATGGTGTCCCTGGGTGAGGGTGTGTAGGGTGATGGTTGTCCCCTGGTAAGGGTGTGTAGGGTGGTGGTTGTCCCCTGTGTGAGGTGTGTAGGGTGATGGTTGTCCCCTGGGTGAGGGTGTGTAGGGTGATGGTTGTCCCCTGGGTGAGGGTGTGTAGGGCGATGGTTATCCCGTGGGTGAGGTGTGTATGTGGGTGTAGTGGTTGTCCCTGGGTGAGGGTGTAGGGTGATGGTTGTCCCCTGGGTGAGGGTGTGTAGGGTGATGGTTGTCCCCTGGGTGAGGGTGTGTAGGGTGGTGGTTGTCCCCTGGGTGAGAGTGTGTAGGGTGATGGTTGTCCCCTGGGTGAGGGTGTGTAGGGTGATGGTTGTCCCCTGGGTGAGGGTGTGTAGGGCGATGGTTGTCCCGTGGGTGAGGGTTGTTTAGGGTGATGGTGGTCCCCTGGGTGAGGGTGTGAGGGTGATGGTTGTCCCTGGGTGAAGGTGTGTAGGGTGATAGTTGTCCCCTGGGTGAGGGTGTGTAGGGTGATGGTTGTCCCCTGGGTGAGGGTGTGTAGGGTGATGGTTGTCCCGTGGGTGAGGGTGTAGGGTGATTGTTGTCCCCTGGGTGAAGGTGTAGGGTGATGGTTGTCCCCTGGGTGAGGGTGTAGGGTGATGGTTGTCCCCTGGGTGAGGGTGTGTAGGGTGATGGTTGTCCCCTGGGTGAGGGTGTGTAGGGTGATGGTTGTCCCCTGGGTGAGGGTGTGTAGGGTGATGGTTGTCCCCTGGGTGAGGGTGTAAGGTGATGGTTGTCCCCTGGGTGGTGGAGGGTGGCGCCAGAGTCTTTGCAGTGCCGCCCCAAAATAGCAGGGACACATGTGACTGTGCCAGCTGCTGTCACTGTCCGCTGAAACGTTTTTCTCCCCTCTCCTCCTCCCCTTCCTTCCTTTCCCTTTCCCTTCCCTTCATTACCCTCCCCTCTCCTCTGCCCTCAACACTGCCAGCCCTCTCATCACATACATATATGATGCAATAAGGTCACAGTAAACAGGTGATATCACAATATACAAACTGCCACTGTGAAAAATAGTGAACTTCCAAACGGTTTCGTGGTTTCTTACATTTGATAGTGTGAGAAATATCGAAAGTGCTTGGAAGTTCGCTATTCTTTCACAGTGGTTGTTTTAGACATGCATATATACATACATGCTGCAATAGTCGCTAACAGTAACACAAGATGCAAAACAACCATGGGGAAGTTGAATGATAACTCTAAGCATTTTGTGTTGCAATCAACACATCTTCCAGAGCTTGCAGTGTTGCAGAAATGAGTAGGAAGCCCAGGTAGGTCCGTTTAAGGGAACGACTTTAGCTAGTGTCGTTCCCTTGAACAAATCTACCTGGACTTCCTACTCATTTCTGAAACATTACAAGCTCCTGAAGATGTGTTGATTGCAACACTAAACGCCTAGTGCTATCATTCAACTCCCCCGTTGTTGTTTTGCATACATACTTACATTAACACACCCCTCACATATTTATTCGTTAATTTAAGAAATGTCTCTGCATTAGATTTCATTTCATGGTATTTATTGTGCGGTGGTTATCATTTTCTCATTTAATGACATAATTTTTTTAATGGATTAACGTGTTTTTTCTTCTCTGTTTCAGAGTGTGCATAGTGGTCGTGGGAGTAAGGGCGTGGGCGGGGGTGTGGGCGGGGGTGTGATGGAGGATGGCGCGCCCCACGCCCCCGTAGGTGCCCGCGTCGTTACTGCCTCCGTCCCTCGCAAGGCCACCTCCCTCCCGGGTTACTACAGCCGAGGCTCCTCGCACCAGCAGCAGCAGCCCTCCTTCCGTGATGCCTTCAACACTAGCAAGAGTACTGCACCTGTCCCCCGCCATGATGCTGCCGCTCCTGCTGCCCTACCCCGGGGACCCACTAGTCCAAGGGCACCCAGGGGGTCTGCCTTCACTCCCGTGGTCAGTCAGCAACCACCACAAGCCCAACAGTATCAACAACAACTGCAACAGCAATTGCAGCAGCAACAGCAACTGCAAAAGTCTAATTATCAGCTACCACAGCAACATATACAGCAACCAAGACCTCAGCAGCAGCAGAAACTGCCACAGCAGCAGCAATTTTACCACCAAAAGGGCAAACAGCAACAGCAGTTGCAACAACATGCACAAAGAGAGCAGCATCAAAGGCAGCAACAGCAACAGCAGAATCGGCAGGCAGAACAGACGCCAGAGAAACCAGCACCTCATCCAGAGAAGAAAAGCAAAAGATCTCTTTTGAGCGGCATCTTCAGGCGTCGTAGGAAGGAGGTGAGCAGCAGTTCAAGCAGCACCTCTAGCAACAGTGAGAGCGAGGAGCCTCCACAACGACGGTCATTTCTTCGTCGCCGAGCTAAGAAAAAGGAACCTAAAGACAAAGATCCTTCACTTCCGCCTGCACCACCAGCAATGCCAGATGATGCATTGTCATGGGGCAGTATGCAGGTCACGACCGATGCTGATCCTGGACAAAACAGCGAGCCGCATATGCAGGAGACAAGTCGACAGAAGGAAGCAGTAGGCGGGTGAGAGTAGTGCCCAGCACTACTGGGAGTCTGGGAAGGGAAACACAACCACTTGGTATTCCCTTGTTAATGCCACAACCAGGACAGCTCTCCAAGATCGGGGTTTCTGCATCACATGATTCTTTACCAGTGAGTCTAGGCTCGTGGGCAGGGGGTGGCTCACATGCCTCCCTCGGCTACTATTCTGGGGGAGGGATGGGTACGCGAAGCTCCAGCACAGACACCATCAGTAAGAAGGAGAGACGGGAAGCCTTGAAAGCACGAGTGGAACGACTTCGTGAAAAGTTTAAGGATACAAGTTCTGATGAGGAAAAGGCGTCTGTGTCATCACATTCTATGTATGGCAGTGAATCTAGTCTCTCTAAAACCAATTCTCTCAGCAGACGTACAAGAGCAGCACGGACTGAACGATTCCTTAGGCGGAAGTCACAAGAATTGGAGACTCTACGTAATGAGACTGAGAAAGATCGACGAAACCGCGAGGTAGTTCAGGCCAGGATTGAAGAGATTCAGCGAGTTCGAGAATTTGAAGCTGCAAGAAATAAAATTAATGAGGAAAAGAAACAACAAATCCCTGAGAAAAGTAGGCCAAAATGGTCGGCCAAACTTGTTTATCAGGAGTCGAGTGAATATGAATCGTCAGTTCTCTTACGAACACCATCAGTAAGTCCAGCGGCAAGCCCTCACATGAAGGCCAAGTTCCAAGGTCACATTCCACCCAGTGTCAGTGATGTCAAAGAGACAGTTGTTATGAGACAGAAAATACATACACCACACATGTCTGTAACCGTCTCATTGGCCCCTCCGTCGGCGACACCAATGAGAAGAAGCTTTCAAGACTTCGAAACACCATTTCAGAATGAACTTAGAGGTCACAGAAGTGCCTCATATGATAGCAACATAAATAGAAAAACCTTAATGCAACCACCTTCAGGAATTAATTTTACTGGTTCTCCAACATCTAACCTGACACCACTAAGCAAATCTGGTCTGACTCCTCCAGCTCCACCTCCCAGAGACAGGAGCAGGATAGTGTCACCAGCAGATGGTAGGCCCATGTCATTTTCTTTTGAGAACCTTAACCAGGAAACTCAGCGTCCAAATTCAAGCCAGTCAAGTATGAGTAATTTTACGAAAGGTTCCAGTCCCAGCCCAAGTGTCCGCTCTGTGCCGGCTTACCTAGGCCCAAGACCCAACAACCAGCCACTTGGACAACCTCCACCTATGGTACCCAACCGGCGGTCCTTCTCTGAGGTGGAATTATCGCCCCAACATCAGATGCAGGTCAAGTCTAACTATGGGGTTCCACCCATCAGGCCAGCACCTCCAGCATATCCACAAACACAATATAGGTACACAGATCAACCTCCGAAACCCTTACAGCAGAACCAGTATTGCAGAATTCAACAACAGCAGCAACAGCCACAGCAGCAGCAGAAACAGCAGTCACAGCAACAGTATCAGAAACAGCAGCAACAACCACAACAACAACATCATCAGCAGGAGAAGCAACAGCAGCAGCAGCAGCAAAACCAGACCTGCAATCAGCTGCGTTACTACACTGATGAGGCTCCTCACTATGCCAAGATTATTCCCATAAGCAGTATGCCTCCCTCTCCTTCTTCAGATTATTCTTCTTATGTGAGTGACAGTAGTGTTAGGCTTCAACAAGCTAACACTATATGGAGGCAAAAGGAGCAGGAAATTAAAAATAAAGTAACAACGACGCAGGGTATTGTTTCTCAAGTTATGAGTGACTCATCACGCTCCAACAGTCCTAAAGTGGATGGTTATTGTTCCAATGACGTTACTACATCCCCGGTGACGCAGCAGAATGAAGACATGTATGGAATTATTGAAACTAAGAAGCCTCGTCCCCCACCTCTAACCTTGAAACAAGCAGAATCTCTCAGCTCACTATCTGGCCAAAGTGATGTTTCCAGTCCTCTCCCAAAAGCTCCTGATTCAGATTCTAGCCAAAGTAGTCTAGCAAGGGAGAAGAAGAAACTAATACAAAACAGACCACTGTCTATGGTACTGGAAAAGTCCGAGTCATGTGAGAAAATGTCTCCTCCAAGTACACCAAAGTCGCGGCCACAACCTCCCCAGAGAGGTAGTAAGCAGATGACCACACCAGGCAGAGAGATTACCAAGCGACAAATGTTCCAGGAGATCATGAAACACAAATTAGGACATCCGCAGGAAAAAAACTACCAAAAGGAGTTTGAAGAAATGTACAGAAAAGAAAAGGAAAGATTAGAAAGGACCAAATGCAGTAATTTTGAAGAGGCATTAAAAGAATTGGAAGAGATCTACGCCAGTTTGAAGTTGGACAGCGAAGACCTTCTAGACCGGGCAGAACGGAGAGACCTGCCCGTCCAGCACCAGAAGCTTAAAGATAATGGACAAGATGCACATGGCTCAGTTAGCGAAACTGGAGAGACAGATTCTGCAGTGCATGGTCGAGGTAGATCACGAACGCCAAAACTGAGGAGAGCTGGAGTGCCTGATGTAAAGGCTGATGACATGCACTACCGCCGGTGTCAGCAGAGCTCCCGTAACCAGCCAGATGTAGAAAAGGCGCTACAAATGACTGGTAGCTATTTACTCGTGTCTGCCGTCCATGCACCTCCCACCGACATCGATAAGAATTTGCCGAAGGACCCCATGCTGGAGGGACAACCCGATATTGTATATGATGATGTATCATATAGAAATATCAAGCAAGCTAATTCAATAAAAGTTATAGATCCACAGCCACCATTTGGAATCCCATTGGGGCCAACTACCCAAGGATCCCCAAGTGATTATTTACATGTGACACCAAAAGAGAATTATAGACCTAAAATGATTGCCAGGAAAGAGCCAGACATAGCTATGGACGACTTAGCATTCAGAAATCTTCGTAAAGAGAAAAGGGACCAATCTAACAAAGAAGTAAATGTTTCTGAGCTGGATGAACTCCTATCAGTGTCCAATAATGGGTCTCCCATGCACAGGAAAAGAGCAGTTCGCTCAGCGTCAGCTGACCGAGCACAGTCTCTTAGAGAACACCACTCAGACAGTGCAGCCTACAGCAGCAGTGATAAAGGGATGAAGCTGCAAACACCAAGACAAGTGAAACATCAGAGTGAGGCCCGTCGTTCTGGACGCTTCTTCGGCACCTACAAAGATGCTGTGACTGATAGAGACAGCACTGTAACTCACCCCGCTGGTGCACGTCACAACCCAAGCTGGCTGGAAAGGGCACAATTGCTGGACAACAAATGGGATAACTTAAGCACAAATAATTTAAGCACTAGCACTGAGACACTGACAGAACTGTCTTCAGTACGAGCCGTGTCACAGCCAGACATTCGGCAAGCCATAATTCGCGAAGCTCGAGTTCCACCAGGAGGACCTCAAGAAATAAGAGAGGCACCACAGACGGTTACTGTGACTTGCCTCACTACCGCCACCACAGCCACGGCCACCATCGCCACCATAGCAGCTCCAAAGATAGTCACAGTACAAACTATTCAGAGTGCCCCAGTTTCACCCGTAGTGGTGGAGAGGAAGCCATACCGACCTCTAGACACCATCTTCAATAACAAGGCCAAACCCTTCTACTTGGCAGATGCCACACCCCAAGTTCAACATCAGGATCACGTGGATATAGCAAAGCTAGATGCTCTCATATCCACACTCTCAAAAATCGACAATAATGAAGACTCTTCCGATGATTCTTCTGTTACTTCTAAAACCCCGGATCAACCACCGGTCACAGACTTTAATGCTCAGGAACTCAAAATAAAGGAAGAACCCACTTACGAAAATGTATTTGAGCCCCAAACCATTGTGTCACAATCCACTGTGAGTCGTAGCATAGAGGATGATAAGAGCAGTGCCAAAGTGAATATCGAGAAGGCCATCAGGTTGTCCATGGCCTTGGAGTCTTATAGCAGTGAAGGTAAACAGGTTTCTTCTCGTAGGCGTAGTGCTATAGAGCTGCCAATAAGAGACGCTGAACTTTCACAGCGTAGTTGCAGCACCTCTTCCACTAATGTTCTTCATTGCCTGAATGTTAACCTCAGTAGTAGCCAGGTGCCGGCACCGAGCTCCCCGGAGAGAGTAACTCTTCCCTCGGAGCCGGAGTCGGCGCCAGCAAAAGCCTCAACTTGTACTGATAGGGTAGAGTCTATGATTGTTGTGTCTCAAACTGTGCATGATACAGCCAGGCGTGCTCACTCACTACCCACCTCACCAATGGCAGTAGACAGCACACCTGTGTTCAGCAGAGGTTATGACTTGTTAATAGATGGTTCAAAAGAATCCAGTGTTGATGAGGTAATATCTCCCTCAGAGAACTGTAGTTACAGCAAATATGTGACCGCTACGCCTCCTTCCTCGGTGGTAAAGAGTGTAGAATCTGTAAGCGAGCCTCTGTCTCCTCAGTCCCCCTCTGATATCACCCATCCAACTCTCTTAGCACAAAAACTAATCATAAATCAACAAGTTTTTAATGCATGCGACAATGAGAATGTCTCCCAAATATCTGACTGTAACGATGCTCTACCTCTGCATGCTGCTGCACTCACTATCAACGTTGATGTTGAGCATGAGTGTAGTGTGCCCGGAGGCTCGGCTTGCGGTGCCTCAGGTACACTAGAGGTACCTTCATCAGTAGAGGCACCGCTGCCGCCTGTGCGCTCTTCCTCTCTACCCGCCTCTCCAGCTCTCCAGAGAACCCTCAGCATCTCTTCGCATCAGCTTGCTTCTGCATCTTCGGGCAATGCTGAAGCCTGGCTTATTTCTGAGCAGCGTGAGCACTTATATCGTGGCGCCAGCGTGCCCCTACAGGGCAGAGCTGCTAGTGCCAGCAACTCTGAGAGTGAGGATTTGGGTAAGGTGGTGAGGGCGGGGTCGCTACCTCCCACCTCATACCCTCCCCATGACGCTACCAAGACTGCCAGGGGCTGCCGACAATCGGGTGCTCCAGAGCCACGTTGGTGTTCTTCAGGTGAGGATCCAGAGTACGTCACAACTGGCCCGGATTGCGCCTGTATGCAATCACTGTTGGCTGCCTGCTATTTGCTTGCATGTCTGACTCAGCTGGCTGGCATTGATGTGATTACAGCCTTCGGTGTTCTTCTGGCTATTGCATCCGTGTTTGTCACGTTTGCACTATGACCTGGCAGATATTAACTAATCCTTCCTACTCAATGTGTCTTTCCCACAAGTGTTCCCATTTATTTGTATTCCTTTCCCTGAAGCGAACGCTTTAACTTCAGAATTTTCAGATTATTTGTAGTCCCTACTTTTTGGTGGAAGACTTTTATATATATATATATATATATATA